ATGCGGGTTGAAGTATTCTATAGTTTCACGAATAACAAATTAATCTGCTGACTGTACATATCAAAAGCTCCTTAGGGTAATAGTTATTTTAATAGAAACGGTAGAAGTTTTGAACTTGGTTAGACTTTAACTAATATTCTCAAGTTCTACGATGCGCACTCTCATTTATAGCGTTGGTCTAGAAAGTTGGTAAGTATGTAAAATATAACTAGACATAACTTAAGCTTGAAAATTATAAGGATTACTTCATAATGTTAACGTAGCTATCAATAAAAGAATTAGTTAAATATGAGACGGACTTGCGCGCCCGTCTTGCTCTTGCTTATTCGGTGGATCTTCGTCTTGCTCAATCATTTCTAGAGTTGATCTTGGTCTTGCCGATATAGTTCTGGTCTTAGTCATTTAATAATAACGGTTTTGAAAGCTGAAATTTTCAGTCTTACAAGCGAGCTTGTTACAAGATACTTCAAAGAAGTAAAAGATATCGAAAAAGAATTAGTAGTTTGTCTCTATATTTCAACGATGTGTCCGAGGACAATGTTGTAAATCCCTTTTTTCAAACAGTGGAAAAGTTTCTTTTTTTATTTATTTAATGTTAAAATCTAGTAAAGCAAACTGAAGATTTCAAATAGTAAAAATGTTTTGTTCCACGAAAGGAATATATTATATTGCTTAAAATTGTTTAAGTCATAAATCCACCGGAATTAATAATTCTACGTTTAGTCTTGTGTATTTGGTCTTGGTTTTGAATATTCGGTCTTGGTTTTAGTCTTGGTGTTGTTCATTCGGTCCTGCTTGTGATTTTGCTAGTATAAAGACAGTTTTGGTCCTACATTTTCGCAAAATCGATACCAAGACTGTAAGACCAAAATCAAATCTGCTCATCATTAAAAATTAATTACAATCGAGTTTCTCATATAAAGAATTAGTGTTTCGCATTTACTTGGATTTTGATGATCACCAACTGCAACAGAGAACGTTCTTTTCCTAAATTATTAAGAATAAGTTAAATAACATAATGGGACAAGAACATCTAAATGATCACACTTAGATTAGCATAGAAGGTGCTTAGAAAAANCCCCCTGGGCACATGTACTTAATAGATCAGACGCATTGGATTTTGTTTTGTGTAAGTATCTATTTGCTGATGAAGTCTATGACAGTAAAGTTTGAAATTGTATTAAATTATGCGGGTTGAAGTATTCTATAGTTTCACGAATAACAAATTAATCTGCTGACTGTACATATCAAAAGCTCCTTAGGGTAATAGTTATTTTAATAGAAACGGTAGAAGTTTTGAACTTGGTTAGACTTTAACTAATATTCTCAAGTTCTACAATGCGCACTCTCATTTAAAGCGTTGGTCTGGAAAGTTGGTAGGTATGTAAAATAATAAAATAATAGCGATACCCAATTACAGTTTCATTCTTTCCATAAATAGCTATTAGGTACATCGCAGAACGAAATCGACAACCAATATCTTCTATAATTAATAAATCCAGGAGAAATACAATTTGATAGCAATTAACCAAACCAGTGTTTTATTTTCTTAAATACAGCATCCCAATGTGAACAATGTTGTTCCAAGTCTCTAACGTCGAAACCTTCTATAATATGATACTGGCTCGAAGGGAAGTAACGTAAGTGAACTGTAGTTGTTGTATTACGATGAAATAACGGTTCTACACGTTATTGTTTATTTTCAACTTTACTTAGTTCGTGATGAATGTAAATTCCAACTGAATTTCCTAAATCTACAATAATTTCCACCTTCAAAAGTTTAGTTATTTTTCGCTATTCTACTTCTGTATCGATTTATGTGTTATTTTAAAGTTTTGATATTTATTAAATTCATTCGAAATAGTTAAAAAAAAATGCTTTCTTACTATTGAATGCAATTCCAATACTCTCAGTAAATTCACTGATATCCTTAGGTAAATTATTCGTGCAATTTTATATACGTATTAACCCTTTTCATGAATTTCCTTATCTTTCAATTATGAAGTCGGTGGTACAAAGTGAATAATTAAATTTATGAAGAAATACTTCCAGATCCTTCTTGTAATCTTTTTATATTTAATTCTATGTGTGTCTGTGTAGGAATACGTTTCATGACCGCCTTGTCATCGCTACAAAGGGCGACGCCTTATTGATTCTAACTTGAAGTTGTCACACGTGGTACAAATTTCTCTTTGGTTTCCTTGGATCATTTACACAAATACTGGGATAGTAATATCTGACAGATACTCTTTCGTTTCTTTTCAGTCTTCATTTCACCAGTCGCATCTTTCTCTCTTCATTCCCACTATTTCTCAAGAGAAGACTAAGGAGTACCTTCCTACCAGCTGAGTGGCGGGACTTAGAGGGTTTAGTTCAGAGTGACAAGTTAGAATTCGGGAGGACATCTGTTCGATTCCGGGTCCTTCTGCTCTTTTCTTGCGTGGGTTTTCTTTGGATCACTTATTAGGCTAATGCCAAAACAGTAGGTCTGCCTCATCTGTCTCTCCCCAACCACCATCTGCCCATTCCTGCGATTTCCACAAGGAGGTTGAAGAAGACCTTTCATCCTACCCTTCGGCATTGAATGAAACACGTTGAGACTTTCTATGTCTATATAACTACTAAAAACTCTTAATAAATGCATGGAATTGATTTGTATAAAGAAGGTCAACTTTAATGGAAAGACTTCACTATTTTCTGACAGGATTTATAAAAATTAATTCTAAGGCACTCTGACAATGAGTGTTAATTAATGATCTTAACTCACACTTCGTTTGTCTTTGTCTGTAGGTTATGTTTTATTGCCATAATTTATAGGACATTTTGTCTTTCACAACGTTGACATTTAAAAAGAATCCTACCTGAAGTAAAGAGTCCTATAATATATACATGTACAAACATATATTAGAATCTCATAGACTGTAATAATAATATAAGTTCGTGAAGGTTTATCGCTAATTTAAAAGCCACTTAATCTGCACCTTTGTTCCGTTAGTTTCCATTAAAATAATCTTTTCTAATGTCGCATTGGACATATCGTAAATATTAGAATTATAACTGTAACGTCTGTTCTCTTGTTAATTCGACATTCACGCAAAGATTAGTAGTTGTGATGTACGTAGGAGATTGTAATACATGATCTTCATTACAACAGCTACTGTGTAGCACTTAATTTNTTCAAAATTCAGAAACTACTGTTAGATATTTACATACATATTTTATCAGGTACACACTTTATGATTAAATCAGTAAACGATTTTTTCTATAGGTACGTGGCGTATTTAATAATTTGGATTCCTGAATTTGCCTATTCGTAAGTCAAAAATGTACTGTTAAGTTTATATTGCCGATGACACTGTGTTTGAACAGGTGGTTGAATATTCTTGGTCCTTTATATATCGAGTGTAGATTACTTCCTACAGTGGATGAAAATTAAACGTGTATCGCTAAAGTCACATGTACGTAGAGCAAAGACTTGCAAAACTGACTTTCCCACGTGTTTGTTAATTGGTTAAAACTATGAACGTGTAAGCTCTAATCGATCGTTCAAATACAGCACAGGAATTGCAAACATTAACATCGATAACTCAAATAAATAATTAAAAATCATTAACCTTGACTAAGCGTGCTAAAGATGTAAGACTTTTCGGGATAAATATGAGTTGGAATTAACACTCTTTTGTTGAATCATTGACGTCATTAAATCAACAATAATTATTATTTACTATACACTAGTGGCAAGTTTACAACCGAACGTTTGGATATGCTATTATATTTGTTCCACGCGTTCACCAACTTGAATATTTCCTTCATGCGACATAAAAAGAAGAAATTCATATTTCATGTTCGGTGAAAGTTTTGCCCTTCCTGTGTATGGAGACGGGGAAGTTCATCTTTCTGTCTGTTTAACATAATTAGCTGACATAAGGAAGAAAAGAAAGGTTTGTCGTCAGTAATATCTTCTATACGCTTTTACCACGTGTTTTCTTGATGATCACAGAAATATCTTCAATTTAACTGATTTCAAGAACATTATTGTTGTAATATACATATACACTATGTTAAAATTTAAAATAAAATTGCTTACTAAACAAAATTTAACACTTAATTGCCATCATAAGAAAATAAGCATTCTGAAGGGTGTTGATCCAGAATTTTCCCCGATTTTTCCTTAAATTAAATTCCTTCTCCTGGAAGAAGCAATGTTTCACTTTTAATTTTTAAAATTACATTTTAGTAAATTCTTAAGTCAGTGGAATATTTTTGATTCAAAAATTTTTCGCTGGCAAATGAAAATATTGCCTGGCTTCTTGAAGTGTTAGTAAATTCCTCGGATTTCCTTGATACGTTTTCTTGACCTGTGGACATCTTAATTCCGAATCTTCTGATGAAGCCATGCAATCATTAAGTTAAAACAATATGAAAATGGTTTACAACATTGCAATCATGTGCAGTATAAGCATTTCACAATTTACTTATATCGTCATAATAGAAGATATAACCAACCTTGTATAGTGGAGGAATTACCGGTTCACAAAGACGACAAACTCAAATCTTTTGTTTCTTTGCTGAGCAAAAAATAGTAAATAGTAGTTTCACAGTTTTCTCTTCTCTTGACTTGATCTAGCACCTTTACCAAGACCGAGCCCAAAAGCAAGACCTAGTAGCAATATTTTAGTAAAATCTAATGCAGTTATAAAATAGAATGAAATTGGTAACTCAACGAATATTTCATAATAGATAATATCCGAGGTGTTTCAAGTAGTACATTCGTAAAATATCTCGTCTGTTAATAGTTGTCATGATAAAAATGTGTTTTATTGTGAGATTTACGGAGAGTCGCAGATGAACTAATGCAGCCGATTAAAAACAAAAGAGTGAACATTTTAACGGTCGTTTAATTTAATCGAAGTAAACTATTACATAAGGTAGTACAATCTTATAAAAACTTTCTAGCACATTAAGTACCTTTTTATCTAAAACGTTGTCTTTTGTTTCAGATGGCCTATCATTTCATTTTCCTGTTAGTCTCAATTTGTGGGTATGTTTCCTCGTTCCCTCAGTCGAATTACGCCGATCAGGCAAACAATGTGGAGTATATCGGTAAAGGCCTCCCGGAGCAAGCCACTCTCGATGGAAAGGTCACGCAGCTTGATGACCTCAGTCCTATAATCACCCTAAATCGTACGAAAGCCGCGCTAAACTGTGCCGCAGGATCCATGCAGGTGGAGTTGAAGTTCAACGACAAATTCTACGGTATAGCCTACGCAGACTTCGATAGGAACTCCGCCTGTCAAGTTTCGGGCAAAGGAGCCTATAGCTACGAATTGGAATTGCCACTCAAGGGATGTGGAACAAAACAAGTGAGTTAAATGACATGGAAATGTATTTGTTTAATGCCCGTAATTCCTTTCGTGAATACGTTCGTATAAACTGTCTGATTATCCTTCTTAATGTAGTGTGTAATGCACGTAATGCTTTCCTCGGCCGCAAATCTCAAAGGTTTAATCTTTGGGTAATAATTCGATTAAGCAGTTTAGCTGACTAGAATCAAACAGTTAATTTATGCACATTAATCTTTTAATCTTTAGCGTAGAATACTTCTTTGGACACAGAAGACCACTGTCAGTTGATACAAACATTGCTCAGGAGCAATACCTACATGTAGTTTAGTAAAATTAAAACAAGTAAAATACAAATAATAATTAATTTAAGATACAGTATAACGACACTCATTATAATTAAAAACCAAACACATCTATCTCTTTTTTCTTGCACAAGTAGAAACCAACAAACAGACGAAATAGCGTAACCTAACGATTACGACCCACGAGATTCTAAACTACCTCTACATTCACATGTCTTATTTGTATACTGTACGAGGTTTGTTCAAAAAGTATCGCGCATTATGTGTTTATTCAAAAATTATTCATGAATATCTATTTTATCCACTTCAAAGTAATCCTAACCAGATATTATACACTTGTGCCAACGTTGTTTTCAATCTTCGAAGCACTTTCAAAAATATTTTTTTATGGTCCTGTTCAGCTCCTCTTTCGATGCCTTCTTTATATCTTCAATCGTAGCGAGCGTCGTCCTTTCATGGGCCTCTTGAGTTTCGGAAACAAGAAAAAGTCACAGGGGGCCAGATCTGGAGAAGACGGTGGCTGCGGCATTATAGTGTGTTTTTTTTTTGACCAAAAGTTCGCGTGCAAGGAACGATGTGTGAGCAGGGGCGTTATCATGTTGCAGAAACCAATTTTTGTTCTTCCTAAAACCGGGCGTTTCTGGCAGATTGCTTCGTGCAAATTGCGCATAACTTGCAGGGGATATTCCTTATTGAAAGTTCTACCCTATGGCAAGAACTCATAATGCACAACGCCCTGCAATCGAAAAAAAAAACCGTAAGCAAAACCTTCACATTCGACCTAATTTGGCGCTCTTTTTTCCGTCTTGGCTCGCGCGGCAGCTTTCATTGGGATGATTGAGCTTTAGTTTCCACGTCATAAACATAAACCCATAATTCGTCACCTGTTCTGACCCTATGGAGCAAATTTGGGTCGTCGCAGACACAGTTCAACAGCTCCTTTTCAGTGTTTTTCTCAATTGATCAATATTGGTACGAATTTAGCGGCCACCCGTCTCGAGTATAGTTGAGAGACATGAGTACCAACATAACCCCACAAAAAATCGAAAATAGAATATACGTAACTCGCGGAAATTCAAAATTCGCAATACTTTTTGAATAGACCTCGTATAACGGAAGAAAATGCTTGGTACATGGAATTTCCTTGCAGAGTACTTTCGTGGTACTTACATAAAGTATCACGTTTCCGAAATTGAAAATAATATACTATATTTAAGATTCAATTCATTCTTTACAGGGTCCTCAACGTGTTTTCACAAATAACATTGTTGTGAGGTTCCATCCTGGACTCGAAATGGACGGGGACGAAATAATTACCATAGTCTGTCGGTATCCACCTCCTGTAGCACCATTACCTTCGCCAGTTACGAATAGGTAATATATCTATGTAGAATATTAGTTTTATTTTCTAACCAACCAATAGTTTAAAATAAAACTTTTACTTTCAACTTGAAATACTCAAATAGTTAGCAGTAAATGTTAATAGGTGGCGATATACTGGCAATAGTTTGATATTAACAAACTTTTATGAATAAAACAACTGGTTCGATTTTGGGTTCTCTTGGTCTTGTCTAAGTTTCTATATGGTTTGTTTGGATCACTTAGGCAAATATTAGAGTAGTGATACTCCAGAAATGAAAATACATCTACTTATCAATAAGTACGAAGTGAATAAACTCAACTTTACTATCTTCAGTTGTTCACGAACGGTAATTAATTAATTAATTAATTAATTACATCCGACAAGCTACGATAATTAATAACTTTAATAGTGTAATCCATACCGTAGTTTTAATTAACAACAAACTTTTGTCAAAATTTCATCAATTATTATATTCAGTAGTTCAACTAACAGCTGTCGGTTCAACCAGATAGGTCTTCCTTTCTTAATTAGAATTAATGTTTAGTTTCTGTTTTCATCATTCATTATCTTGTCCATCGTGGTATAATTTTACATTTTCGTTACAATGGTGCATGTAAAAGTTTGTTAATTTTCAAAATTTAAATATTTTTTACAAATTCTATTTGAGCCAACCATGTTGGTGGCTACTCAAATTTAAGGTCAGTTACAATGTCTCACACAGACATTTCAAATTAAAAACAATATCGTTTCTTTACGTATTCCTTCTTATTTCAGTTTTTATGTGAGCTTTGTGACGTGAGATCGAAATGTTTCCCCAAGTATGAAAAATATGTAATCGGTTAACGATATTAAAATGTAATGCATTGCATTAATTCTGATACCTACTCGATCAATTGTTATTTATTGCTCGTGTTTCGGCACAAAAGACTATTGTCGTCACTTCGTATATATTTTTAAATTTCGGGAAGTAGTAGTATAGTTCTGAGCAGCCTTCACCCTGCTCCCTTCTATTTTGGAAGATAATATAGGAACTTAAATTTTGTACAGAAAAAAGTCCATTCTTGACTAGCTGAGACATTGGTTCTCTAAAAGCATTTAATATTCAAGTAAGTCTGGTCTTCGATTAGCTGAAGCAATTCCTCCTAAATATTACTTTAATTTATATTAACTTCTAAGTTTGTGTAAATAAATAGTTTCGTATGATCGTGTTAGTTTACTATAAACTTAGTGGCCCTTCGGGTTTTTATGTGGTACAGCAGTACATCCGTTGTGGTAGTTTTTTAACTATCCAGTAAGAAAAACAGCTCGTACGCAATTGAGGTTCCTATAAGTTCCTTAAAACAATTAGAATGGTGAAGTACTTAGTCAGAAGTTTAATTACATTGATTACCGGTTCAATTTCTCGAAACCGTCATATTATTCGACTTGCTAAAAAGGACTGAAACCAGTTGGTTGCTTGATTTTGACTTATTAAAATATACCCTTGGGACTTTATCCGCCGACCTTGTCTCATCAGCTACTACACAGCTCCTTGGAGTGCTTCGATCGTTATTAAAATTTCTGTCGGAGTCAAGATTTCTGCAGCACTCAACTTAATTGTAAAAATAAGAAATGTTTTGGCTCACGGCGGGGATTAAGGAAAAAGTAATAAAACAGGTAGCGTGTAATAAGCGATGCCTTAGTGGCAGAGCTGAATATAAATATATCTATGTACGTAATGATCCAATAAATGATTATTATAAAAGCTCTCACAACGAGAACTGGAGTTGTATAATGGAAAAACGTACTTACCATAACTTCAGAAATATTGATTTCAAAAATGCTAATCAAGCTCTAGTTACAATAATTTATTGGTAATGAAAAAACTCAAAATTAAGATAAATACTACAACAGTGTTGGGCATCGTCTTCGCGTTACTAATCAGGTCATTGCCTTCGTTCTAATGGGTATAAACTGAAACTAAAAATTGAAAATGGGAATCATCCCCTAGGATACTTACAGCTGCACCATCGAGACGTGACCTCAGATTTTGTCCCAACCGGCGCAGATACACAAGAACCGTATTAGGCTAGAAAATGAGCCGCTCACGCTCGGGAAAAATGCAGAAGGGCTGGTTATTGGGAACACACTATTTATTCCAATTTTATGTTTTATTCTGTTTATCTAGTCGACCAATATGTCTGTATATATAAAAGAAAGTCGTGTTAGTTACACTATTTATAACTCAAGAACGGCTGAACCGATTTGGCTAAAAATTGGTGGGGAGGTAGCTTAGAACCAGGAGACGGACATAGGATACTTTTTCTATCCCGTTCCCGTGGAATTTGACATAAAACGTGATATAAGAAATCGTAACTGACAGCAAAACGAAAAATTTATCAGTCAAAAAATTAGTCTAGCCGTTCATTTGTTAAAAATTATATAACAAAAATTCAATCTCTGTTGGAGGGGAGTAGTGGTGAAGAGGAGTTGCAATGTTTAATTGGAACATATATTATTTGTGGTCAGGTTTGCTTGAGACTTGCTCTTAATGGTCTCTCATTTAATTTCTGGAAGACCTATCTAGACATTTTAAAAAATTCAATCTCCAAAGGGGGGCGAGGTAAAAAGGTGTTGTAATTTTTGTTGGGGAAATACATTATTTGTGGTTGAATTTACTTGAAACTTGGTACATATGCTGTTTGATATTATTAATCAAATAAAAAGAGGTTGTAACGTTTCCATGGGTTATATTTTATTTGTACTCGGATTTACTCGAAGGTTGCTCATTGTTGAAATTAAGCAAATATGTGTTTTGGCAACTTTTAAAAATCAACCCTTAAGGATGAAATGTTGTTGCTACGTTTGTATTTGAAATCTAAGATGGCGACATTACATAAAATTAAAACGTTGTAAGGGTGAATTGGGAGTTAAAAGGTTTTATGGAGAAACAATATTAATTTCTGCGAGCGAAGCCGCGGGGAAAAGCTAGTATCTGTATAAAATCCACTAATTTTTCATATTCGAGAAGTTGTAGATTTTAAGTCGCTTTTGAAAATTCGAGTACCTGTTCAACAAATATCAACGTTTTAAGATCATAGAAAGTTAAAATCAAAATCAGTTGATCTGTTCGAGAATATTGTTGACGATAAGTTTCAAAAAATGTTTCTTTTTTCTTTTGAAACGAAATTTGAATTCTTAGTAAAATGGAGATTTGGTATTCACGTCAGCTATCTGTTTGTTCTTTACAAACGTTAACAAAACCTGTGGATCGTCGTATGAAAAAGTAATTTTAAACAATTATCGGATTTTTAAGCTCCAAACTCTTAAGAGCTCAATTACTCGTAAATGCATGTTTTCTATCAATTTGAGCTCGAAAATAAGCAAGAATTTCAGGGTTAAACGTTGTAAATATTTATCTCTATCAATTTTCCAAAAAAAATAAAATAGGTTACTCTATATTTAAAACCTTATGTCAGTAAAAAGGATTTTTAATTTCACATCGAACGGTATAAAGT